GGATTCTATTGAAGCAGTTTTAACAGTATACTTCTGGGTTAATAATGTCAAGTCTGCAAGTTATATGATTGGCTTCCCAGTGCTTCAGGGGTCTTTCTCCAATTATTTCTAATTTATCTAAAATGAGAAATTACTTCCTCTAGTCTTTATGATTTTTTATGACTCCTATATGTTGTAATCCTTTTCGGAAGTTATAAAGTTCTGTATTTATTTCTATTTGATCATAACTTTTATCTATTTCTATATCAGATAAACTTAGTTCTAATAATTCAATTTCTTTAATTTCTTCCTTGATAACATGTATTTTAGTACAATTGCACTCTTCTCCTTTATTACATTTTAATGTATTTGTATCAATATTAGATTTATCAGTATTTTTAAGATATCTTGATTTTGTTGGAACTGGTTCTGTTGTTATGGAAGTTTGAGTTATATTTTTAGAAAATATTACTCCGTCTCTAGTAAGGAGACAGCTCCCGTTGTTATGCAATAAGAAGTCTAAGCCCAAAACAAAGTCTATTCTAATATTTAAATCTCTCACCCATATTTTTTCTAATTTATATGTGGGTTTATAGAAATCTGCACATGTATTTAAAAAACTTATTTGAGCATTACTAACATAATGTTTATATATATTTGAAGATCCATCCATTTGCATGGCGCTTTGTGGCTCAGAAAATTCTTTTATTATTTCTGAAGGCAAGATACTTCTATTTATTATACTTTTTGTACATCCAGAGTCTACTAGAGCTAAGGTTTCTATTTCATAATTCTGAATTCTTATTCTTGTTAATATTTTGATAGTATTAATTTTCTTGTCTTCATTACAAATTAATCCTTCAAACGATTTGTGGTCCTCTTTTTCATTTAAGAGCTCGATTTCTTCTTCTGACGTTGTATTTTGCTTTGTTCCTTCTACTTTTTCTTTTCCTTTTTCTTAATTTACTTATTCTGTCTTCTAAACTATCAATCTTTTTTTCTAAAGATATTACTGTTTTTTCTTTTGTGCTTATTGTCTGGTCCATTACTTTGATGTTAAATATCCTATCGATGCACATAAGACATTTTTCTATTTAGCAATTCATACATTTAGCTCTTCTATCTTTACTGGGGTATCCTGTGCAATTAAAGCATTTTTGACTATCTAAACCTTTTCCTTTGGAAAATTGGTGATCGCATAGTATATTAACGAATGTAAAATCTTTGATATTTAAGTCTAATTTTTCTAATCCTATTTCGTTTATTAAAGTTTCTTCTTCTGAATCAGACGAATCTTGTTGTCTTCCTTCTAAAGCATATATACTTATTACTGAATATATACCTTCATTATCTGACATGTATTCATCTACACTTATCAGGGTTTCTTGGAAATCTTCTATAAGTTGAGCATTTCTTGTTCTACTATTATTTCTGCCTGGACAAGTATTAGCTAGATGTTCTTCACTTCCGCATGTAAAACAGGATAGTCTATTTTTATAGATTCTATTATTATTATGTTTCCTTACATGTCTATCTTTATTTAAATAAGGCTTTCTTGCCGTAGATTTCCTTAGATAATATTTTTTCCTTGGTTTGTAGTCTTGGTTATTTTGATATGTCTTTTTGTATTTTCTTTTTGGGGTGCCTTGATCATAGCTTTGCGTTGTGTATATATTTTTACAAAAATCTGTCTCGTTTTATTTTAATTGTTTTTGTATTTGTATAATTGTACATTTTTCTTGTAATATTTCCATAACATGCTGTATTTTATGTCCAATAAACCAGTTAGCAATTGGATTTTGCATTACTCCCTCTCTTTTGCTCCATCTTTCTTCTATTTCTCTTCCTAGGGCTCCAGGAAGTTTGTTGAAAAGCTTTTTTCCCAGGCTTTGGTCAAACGCATTACCGCTTATAGCGCAATAGTAAAAGTAGTCTTTTAAAAAATTCTTTGTATAGCTCCAATTTGTAATACTAAGTTGTTTTAATTTTATTAGTGCATTCTTTTGTAGCACTACTAATCCGCTATTAGGGTCTTCTCCTGTTATTAGGCTATGTATTTTATTAGTGAAATTATATGGGTTTGGTCCCATATTTACTAGTTCTTGAAATTCTTGAGGGTAAGCTATTTTGTATGCTTCCCATACTCCTTTGATTGATTCTCCTAAAAAGGTTTACATGTATCTATACATAGTTTCTGCATATGTTTCACTATAGTGATGTATGTAATCTGCTACCACTATTCCTTTCCATACGTCTATTACTGAGTTCCATAATTGAGGGTCATGAGCTGCTATATTTAATATTTTTCCTCTATCTCCTCCATCTTGAAGTTTGATAGGGGCTTCTATTGGCATTCTTATTCCTATTGGTCTAATCATTTCTGGTTCTGTTGCCGGATCTTGCCAGTATACCCGGTGTCGTGGTAAATTACCTATAGTATATTCTACTGGTGTTATAGGGGTTGTTTTTTGGAAGGGACTTGAACTAGAAGAAGCGATTTCCATAAATTCTTTTAAACTTCGAGTTGTCTCATCGTCGCTTTCTTCCTGGGTGTCGTCTTTTTGTCTATACCTATAATTATCTGTTCTAAATTCGCATTCTTTAAAGTGTTTTTCGACTGTAGAGATATCCATTTTTCTTAATTTACAACCTTTACATTTAAACAAAGTTGTTTTATTTTCTTGATGTAATTCTTTAGCCTTTGCTATTGATAGGTCTACTTCATAGTCCTCTTCATTTATATTTTGAATATTCATACCTTCCATATTGACGGTTGATTCAGTATCTTCTAAATCTTCATCTATTTCTTTTTGATCTGTATATTTATAATCAGTGAATCTGATTGATGTCTCTCATTTAGTATTAGTATATGTGAGGTGGTCGTTTGGTCTTAATACTTCTTTTTTACAGAATTTTTCTAAATTCCATTCTCTACCTGCATATTCTTCAGAATTTATTTTTAGAGGGTTCATTAGTTTGATTCCTTTATTTCCCATTATACCTACATTTAATAATTTTAATTTATTTTGTTTGAATATTTCTATGTCTCTATCTACATCTATTAGTTCGTCTAACTGTTGACTACTACTTGGTCTAGATGAGTTATTCATTATTCTTGCTAGCATATTGTTTCCTAGTCTATCTTGAGAGAAACTGGTCTTTTGTCTTTCTTGGGAATTTCTATTCCTGTTTGAAAAAAGGTCCATGCTTTTTCTTTTCTTTTAAGTCTATCTTTTTGTGGGGTTATTTCAGTTTTTTTGAGCTGTTCTATTAAGGCTTGTATATCGTTTTCTTGCTTATCTTCTTTAGTAGGGATTTTGGGTTCTAATAAAGTATCCAATTTTTTATTTATTTTAGATATTTGGTCTTCTAGGTTTTTATTTAATTCTAATAAAGCAAAAATTATTAGATTGTTTTGTTTTACGCTTATTAAGTCTGTTTTGCCTGGTGGAGTATAGTTTGATAATCCTTCAGGGTTAGCTTGAAATTGTGCTGTTTTTCTAAGTATTTCTTTGTAAAAAAAGTTGTTCATGAAAGGGTTAAGTCTTTAAGCTTTCCTAGTTCTTCTTTAATTTCTTTTGTTTCTGTATAAAGGTTGTTTAGTTGGTTATTTATTATTTCTAGTGGATTTCTATCAATTAGTTTATTTGCTACTATTGTCTGTACCTTAGAAATTATATCTAGTTGTTGATTTTTTAGAAAATCAAAATTTTGTTCTATTTTTTCTAATGATTTGCTTTGTCTATGCTGCAGGCTTTCTATGGTCTCTATTAGTTTTAGGAATCTATCGTCATTAGACTGACTATGTTCTGCTAAATTTATTATTAAATCTGTAATAATATTTAAATGTTGATTATCACTATGTAGGATATGTTCTCCTTCTGTAAAGTTACACTTAAGTATTGAACCAAATTTTAGTCTTCGATATTTCTTTTCTGAAACTAATTCTAAATCTAAGTATTCTAACCTCTTAATACTTCCTATTTTATGCTAAAAATAAAGTTCTGTTTTTCTATTCTAATTTCTTTTATGTAATGATAAATTCTAGCTCCTATTGTAGATATTTGTAAATCAGCTTGTCTTAATTCTTGGTGTATAAACAGTATTTGTGGAGGTGTTAATAAATCTGAATATAATTCTAATTGTTCTAAATATAACTGGTTTTGCTCTATTAAGAAGTCGTATATTTCTAAATAGTTTTGTCTTATTCTCAGTAGATACCAATGATATTCTTGGTTAATTATAACCTGTTTTTCGTATGGCCTAAATTTTTTCTTATATATTCTAGATGGCATATATACTATTACTTATATAAGTTGCTTTATCCTAATTGAAAATTTAGTTTACTAATATATTTCCTTTGGACTTCTATGCGTCTATTTGCTTGTTCGATATTATTATCTATACTATATAATTCTCACTTTAATGCGCTTAATAATTCTGGGGTGACTAGGGTCGGTCTGTTTGATGAATATAAACCCCCGTGATTACAAAGTTTGTCGGTTAAGTCTCTAGTCTCTAATATTTCTAGATATAGGCTTAATGCCTCTTTTATTTTTATCCACTCAGATCTAGTCTGTAATTCTCTATATACGTACCAATAATATATATATATATAAAGTAAGATTTGACTTATATATGCTGTAATTTTTTTTCGAGGAGGAATGTCTAGTTGGACACCGTAACACCAACATAGCTTCGCCCCTGGTGTAGGTTAAATTTACAAAGCGTCAAAAGTTTCATATCCAAACCTTCATGGAATTGAGGGAACACTTTCACTAGACACAAATTTAAACTTAGTCCGATCGAGTTCCCAACACCAACTTTGAAAAAAAAAAGAGTTTTCTTCTGTCTTTATCTTTTAATGACAAATAATTCAAAAAATGCAATATGACAATTAAAAGTAAATGGAGTGAGTATTAGTTGCCAAATTTCAAGAAACCTATACCATAGTGTCAAAGACACTTGGCTTAAGAAAGAATATGCAACGTAAGCCCCTAATTCCTGGAAAACAGAGAAACGAAGAAGATGTCAACATTCACTTACCCCAATTTTCCCTTCTCTCTCAAAGAAAATATGCAGCAAAAACAGGGACTTCTCAACTGTCAATTCCCCATTATGTGGACATCACAAATTTCTCAAGAATAACATACTCAATTTCCCCTCATTTTCTGCTCCTAAATCTGTCCAATCCATGAATTTTCACAGTTAGGTTGAATTTCTACGTCCAATTAGTCTTCATTTGCTTGAAAATCTTGAATGGGGTTTGTTGTTTCTTCCCTCTCCGCCTGAATTTTCGAATTGATCAAAATCCATGGCTAATCTTAATCAAACTTCTTCTCCTTTACTTCTCTGAATATGGCTTCTCTTTCTCATTTCCTCTATCAAAATTTGTTTTTGCCGCTGGCTACTGTATTTGCCTTTGTTTCCCTCTATTTGTCTCCTCTGTTCAACTCCATCACCACATTTGTCCACAGGTATTTTAATTATTAGTCGCTTCTTGTAAATCAAGATTCAATTTTTTTTTTCCAATACCCTTTTTTTTTTAATTTCATACCTTTGAATCACGCAGATTAAGGTGGTGTAAGGCTCCATTAAATAAGAATTCAGGTTTTAAAGATGACTATAAGAGAGTAGTATATGATTTTCCAGAAACAGAGCAGCAGTTGGGTTATGAATCTAATGTTTTTAAGGATGTTTCTGAATTCCCAAATTCAGAGACGAAGGAAACAGAGTTTAATTTTACATTTAAATTCCCAACCTATGAAGAATTTTGTAAAAGCAAGGAAGACAAGGTTGAATTTGTTAGCTCTACATTCAACATCAAATCGCTAACAAAAGCAGAGGTTGTTGAAACAGAGGATTTGAAAGAAGTTCATAGTAATATCGAGGCGATAAATGAGGAAGACAAAAAAGGGGATTTGAGTAATTTAGAGTGCGATGAACATGAAATAAATGAGGAAGAAAAAGTGGATTTGTGTAATTTAGAGTGTGATAAAGACGAAACGGAGAAAACAGAGGAAATGAATTCCATGAAAGAAGAATCAGATACTCGAACAGAACAATTTCTGAAGGAACTAGATTTTACTGATGATTCTCTGTTTCAATCAGAAAAGGATTCTATATCTACTGATTCTGATACTGTATCAACTGGTTTTGATCATATCTGTTATCTGATGAACAAATTAGTTGATTCGTTTAGTGATGGCTTCTTGACAGACGAAGACTTTGGTGACGAATTTGAACTTGATAATGTAAACGATCCTGAAATGTCAGAGGAAAATCAAGAATCTGATGATGATGATAGTAATAGTGATATAATGGAAGAGCTAAGGAAATTAGAACAAGATCAAGCACCGCAATTTTTATCTGAGGATGATTTTCATGAAAATTCTTACAAGCTATTTGGTGATTCCGAGGACTCTGAAAATGTCGAGTCAAGAAATGACGATGCAAATAATTTGGAAACCTTGTGGGAACATCAAGAATTGATGGAACAATTAAAGTTGGAACTTAGAAAAGTTAGAGACACTGGACTTCCCACTATTTTGGAAGAATCAAATACGCTAAAATGGGAAGATTTAGAGCCATGGAAGATTGATGAAAAGTTGCAACGCGAAGATTGTATGAGTGAACTTCATAAGTTCTACAAGAGTTATAGAGAAAGAATGCGCAAATTCGACATATTGACGTACCAGAAAATGTATGCAATAGGTCAGTAACAACTCTTCATGCATTACATTATTTTCAAATTTTCTTCATAATTACCATGAAAAACATCATTCCTTTTTCTTTTGCTAGCTTGAACATATTTTTTTTTAATTTCATTAGGTAGTTGTTTTCTTATATCCTGATAGGTGGTACTAGATAAATTTGATCACCAAAGCTTAAACGTATTAAAAAAAAATCACTTGTAAGTTTTTGTCTCATATGATATTTGAACCTTAGTCTCCCATGACTTTAAGCTAGTTCATTGACTGGCATAGGTTTGGGTAAATTATTGACCGGCAAGTAACTAAAGCTTAGGGAGATAGGAAAATAAAATCACTTTAGTCTAAATTACAATTTGTCATGATTTTGACTCATCTATCACTAGAATGCTGGAAAAATATCATTCCTTTTCGTCGCTTTATTAGTTGGTGAACTTATTACAATTGGTTGTTATTCATGGCCATCTTCATATTTCTTTGAAAGTAATTACGTTAAATGAATAGAACAGCTAATCTTTAATCATTCAAAAGTTTATAACCATGATCCATAAAATCTGGTTAGCTCTGCTGTCCAAACTCAGTACAAAATGAAATTTAAAGCATTGAATAAATGATGTATACCAACAAAAAAATGTAGGCACGTGCGAGCGAAAAGACATTACGTCAAAAATGGATTTTTAGTAGCAATTAATTAATAGCAATAGTGACATTGAATCTAATGACAACTAACTAATGCCTGTAAAAATTTTAATGTGTATATTTACTTTTTGTATTAATTCATTTTTAAAAAGAGATATTTTATAAATTTTACAGGTTATCTACAGAAAGATCCACTAAAAGATCCATTTCAATGTGTGTCAAGGCAAAGACGTGCAGGTCCAAAACTAAAATCTCTTATTTCACAAAATATTAAGCTATTCAAACACAAAAGGCATAATGACAATATTGACCCTATGATAAAGTTTATCGAAGAATTGCAGAGTGATCTTGAAGTGATATATGTTGGACAAATGTGTCTTTCTTGGGAATTTCTACATTGGCAATATGGAAAAGCTTTAAGTTTATGGGATTCTGACCCTCGTGGTACTCATACGTATAATGAAGTTGCTGGAGAATTTCAACAATTTCAAGTTCTCATACAAAGATTTATAGAAAATGAACATTTTCAAGGGCCTAGAGTTCAATATTACATCAAGAGTCGATATGATCTTCGTAATCTTCTTCAAGTTCCTCTCATAAGAGGTAAGCATCTCAAAAGAGTTTTAAGTTGTGTACACTGACAATATAAAAAATGACATGATTAATTGTCATTCTTATACGTAACATGGTTTTATATTTTCGATACATAAAACTTAAACTCGATTTGAGCAGAGGACAGAGTCAAAGACAAAAACAAGGGTAGAGATAGAGAGAGAGATGAATATTGCATTACAAGTGACATGTTGGTGGAGATAGTGGAAGAATCAATAAGAATATTTTGGCAATTTGTTAGAGCTGATAGAAATTGCTCAAGCATGATGGTGAAGGGTAAAAAGGGAACACAACATCAAGAGCTTATTAAAGACTTGGGAGATTTAGAGCTTTTAATGGAGGTCCAAAAAAGTCTTGGAAAGGTAAATTCTTAGTTTTCAACTGATTCTCCTTCCGTTCGTCTTATTTTAATGGTCACTTTAGCTTTTTTTTCATGCTCATTAAGAAAATATAATAACTATAAGGTATAGTTTATTAAGTTATCTATTTATTTTTTCTCTCTTAAATATTTTAGGTGCTTAATGTTAAGAGTATACTTGAAAACAATTACTATCAACTTTAGTAGTAAATTTCTAAAGTGACAATTATTTTGACATAGTTTCTTGAGGTGAAACGACAATTAAAATGAGATGTAGGGAGTATTGTCGAGAATGTAACTTAAACTAACCGTGTAAAGAATTTTTACATTATTAATGTATCTTAACATGATGTAATAGATAACTCGACTTATTTTTCGCAAATACTAGTCTCATGGTTATCCGTAAGTGATCTGATAGTGTAAAAAATCATTTATTTTGTCGACTATCGAGGTTAAGGTCATTGTCTAATTATTGTTATGGAATGCAGAAAGAGAAGAAACTCAAAGATGGTTTGAAAGGTGAGTGTTGCATATTGAAGAGGTTCAAGAAGAACAAAGAAAATGATTCAGATCAAGTGTTGTACTTTTTCTCTCAAGTGGACATGAAATTAGTTACTAGGGTTCTTAATATGTCCAGGCTAACAACAGATCAACTAGTGTGGTGTCACAATAAATTAAGCAGCATTAGTTTTCTGCATAGGAAAATACATGTAGATCCTTCTATTTTGCTCTTCCCTTGTTAATAGTAGTCCTTATTTTTATAGCTTTTTTTTAGGGTTTATTATGAGCATATGTCATCAAGGTCATATTTTGTAGAAAATGTGATGTTCTTTACTTGAGGTTGTTAAGAGTGCCATTTTTCCTAATAAGACAAAACCAAGAGACTTGTGTTTGGGAAAAAAAAGTTGTAAAAATGTTGGACAAATAGTTGTAAAAATATTGTCAAGAATGGGATTTGAACCCATGCCCTTTCGGACCAGTACCTGAAACTGGCGCCTTAGACCAACTCGGCCATCTTGACTTTGTAGTTTATTTTCAAACATTTTCTTATAGTATTGTTTGTAGATCTATTAATGTTACTATAAACTAGTTAAACCAAGGGAAAAAGGCTTGATATACCTCTCAATTTTGTCATTTGGAATTGATATGCCCCTCGTTGTGAAAGTGACTCATAGATACCCTTACTGCTATACAAACGACTCACATATACCCCTACCATTACAAAATGAGCACACATATACACTTCATTCAACGGAAGTGAAAATATTAGTTTTAAATATATATTTTTGACTTTTAATTTTTAAAAAATTCATGTAGGAGTATATGATCCTTTTAGCAAAGTTCAAGGTATATTCTAATCTTTTTCATACATAAATTGTTTTTTGACTTCTTTGATTATCATTATTTGAGTTTCTTATTCTTGTTTTATTTTTTTTCTTTCATTCCTTAGTGTAAAGAAAAAATTTAAAACTAATTTTTTTGTGGCTATATTATAATTTAAAACTATTTTTTTCGACAATAGTGTTACTTTAGTTCATTAGTTGTATTTGAAAAAAAAAATTGGGTCATCTATAGTAAATTTTACAAGAAAATTAGTGAAACATAAATAAATTTGACCATCAAAATAATAAATTTAAATTAGTCATTGAAAAAAAAAATGTGTATGAGGAGGATTGAATATATACCCATATGGGGTTATATTTTTTTTTAAAATAATTAAAATTAATTTTTTCACTTTTGTCAGAGGAAAAGGGTATATGCAAGTCATTTGTATAACAGTAGAGGTATATCAACTCTAAATGACAAAATTGAGAGGTATATCATGCATTTTTTCCTTAAATTAATATATAAGTAATTTTTATTTATTTACACATTTGATAAATGCAAAAATTGCTTATAACTTGATATCGATTATAAGTTTGTCACCTCAACTTAAGTAGGCGTTTGGCCATGTGATGCCATATCACGATATGGAATCGTGAGATGGAATCAACGTTTGGACATGCGATTTTACGCTGATTTCATCTCATGATTCCATAGCATGAGATGTGATTTCATATTCTCCAAAAACCATGATATGGGAATTCCATATCATGATTTGAGATATTTTTAATATAAAAATTGATCCACAAGATTATATTTTGTTAAAACAACCCACATTTATATCTACTAACAATTTATTTCATATGTAAATAAAATTTATAATCACATTTTTACTTTTTAAAATTTATTATTCTCACGGACATAAAATTTATTATTCTCACCAACATATAGTCACTTTAACTCACACCAACCAATTGTTGAGTAATAAATTTGCAAGAATACCAAAGGACTGATGAAATATTATGGTCTATTAGCATGAAAATATAGTTGCGGATGATATTGACCAACAAATGGCTCAAAGTAACAATGTTGGTTCGTCTTCTCGGTCACATGATCGAGAAATGCAAGTTCAACGTGAGGAAATTGTTCGTACTATGTAGGAGGATTATATTAAAGACTAATACACTACAATGTTCAATTTTTTTATTATTGAATTAAAGTTAGATGAATCAGTTACTTAAGTGGAGAACAAATAGTTTTGTAGTAATTTATTATGCGATTTTATAAATTTTTGTATATTTGGTAAGATTGAATAAACAATTGGGGCTATTTTAATAGTTTTACAACTTATGCGATTCTTATATTTATGAGAAAATGTACAACACAAAAATTTCATATCGCATGTCCAAACAAAACTTCAATTTCATCTCATAATTCCATATTATGATATCATATCATGATTCCATATCATGATGCTATATTGCATGGCCAAACGGGCCCTAAGATTTTACTCGTTAATAGCATGTTGGAAAAATTACTGAAATATACGTCTTATGTTTTCCTTATTTCTAATATTCCCTTCTATTTCTAAAAACCTTTAAAATCCGTTATTTCTCTCCTAATTTTAAATTATTTTATAATGTATCCGAGCTAGTTTTTAATGTATCTGAGCTATATATTATGTATCCAATTTGTTTTACTTTTAATGTAATTACAAACTAAATAGGGATAGATTGTAATTTCATATTAAAACTATGTGATTCCTAAAATTTATACTACTTTGTTGTTTTACCAAACTTTTTATGACTTTATTCCTAACATCTTGTAATTTTCAAAGTACTCTTCTTTAAATAACTTATTAATTTTCCACAGTCTATTTTCTTCATTCATCCTTTGTTATGCAAAAATACTTTTACACTTGTATCTTTTTTGTTAATAGCTTAGGAAATTAGGTCATTTTAATAGAAAAGATGTTTATCAGCACCATTTTATCAAGGAGCATACTACACCATATTATCAATTTCAATACTTCTATAAGAGTCGCGAAGTACTTCTCAGCCTTCCAAGGATTTTGTATAAATACTATGCACACGTCGTGTAGATATATATATATATATATATATATATGTAAGAGAAGAAATAAGAACCTTATTATAAATTGATGCAAAAGAATTTCAAGGATTACTCATTTTGTCCTCCTTCAATGGTGACTTAAAATACTTTACAAGTGATACATTCTGCTGGCAGCATATCCATGTAACATGCTCATTGCTCGCACATTTCCGCTTTTCGATACAGATTGCTGTCAAAAACTCTTCAATTGTCATGAATCTTTTTCCTCTAATGCTATGCTCAACTCCAAGTTATCGTTGCCCCTACGGATTTTTAACCGAACTTCATCACCTATGTTATAGTTATCCAGGGCTTTATACAACTCTGCTTTACTCCTAACCTGCAACAGCATGAAATGTGTGCATCTCAGAAATACAGAATTGCTTAGAACAAGGAGGAACAAAAATCAATCATTGTTAGGATGATTCAAACTCTAGACCTGCAGGTCGGAAGCCTAGACGATGTTCATATCATCAAATTTGCACTAACAAGAAGCTTGCGGTGTAACATAAAACAGAAAGTCAGAAATTACTTACAGGTTTGTCATCCACTGCTTCAATAATATCGCCAAGCACTATATTTCCTGCAAAACCCCTGGTAGTAGGAAGAAGTCCCACTTTCGCTGCAGGACTATTTCCAGGTACCTAAATAGAGCAGGAATAGATTCAGACAAAAGAGATATCGTGAGTTTTACTCTGAAAGATCCTGTCTCCCCACCCCCAGGGTCATAGTGACAGAAATGTACCAGCAAAACCAGTGCTCCATTTCGAACATTAAGTTGGTTGGCAATCAGGTCTGGAGCGATTTCAATATTCAAACCAGCACGAAGAACCTGACATGCATAAGACATACATATACGTAAACAAATGACCACTATATTTCAAGTGAGAATATGAAGCAATATTCGCCAATACAAGATGAGATGTTCTGCAACAAAATGCAGATGAGGAGAATTCTGGAAAACCAGGAAAAAAAGCTGACAAGAACTAAGACACGAACGAATAGAGCAACAGTCATACTTTTCCAGCTTGGATCAACTGGGGCACAACTCTCAACACAGTTGAAGAAGGGATTGCAAATCCAACACCTGCTGATGTCCCTGTTGTACTGAAAAAGAGTAAGTAATAGCAGGAGAGGATAAACTTCGAACATTCAAATAAGTGTTTCTTGTCATCTCCTCTCAATCTTCAGTCTACCACACAACGATGGAAAAACTATTCACCTGTCTGAGTAAATATTGCAGTGTTGATCCCAATCAAGTTTCCTTTTGAATCTAACAAAGGACCTCCGCTGGAAAGGTACACATATTTATTCACAGAACAGAAGTTGAAAAAGAAAAGGACAAAAGAGACCTTTAATGATTATCACCATCAGAGGCAATGCATTCGTTACCAAGGGAAGTACAAGTTCAGAAAAATAAACCTGTTGCCAGGGTTGATGGCTGCATCTGTTTGAATTCCTCCACCAATGGTCACTCCAGTTTGACTATATATATCTCGATTCAGTCCACTGATAACCCCAACAGTGAGTGTATGATCAAACCCAAAAGGATTTCCAATGGCTAAACATTGCTGGCCAACTCTCAAAGAAGAAGATTCACCAACCCTTATTGGCCTCAACAGGTCTTCAGAAGCTTCCACCTTGCATTTCAAGATGTGAAGTCATAAGGTGTCAAAAATGTAAGTTTGAGTTAAAAAGAACAAAAAAAAAAAGAAAATGCCAAAATGCACATCAACAACTTCTATGTTGTATGCTAGTTCCTCAAGCAAATAGAACTTCTAAATATATTGATTCCATATGAGTGTAAAAGAAGAACAAAAAATAGGGCATACAGCTCTTTCCTGGATGTGTAATCGCATAATAAAAATAATGCACTGGGATTATTTTCCTCCATAGGAAATATGATAATCGCAACCTCACCCCATTCAGCTGTTCCACCCAGTTTTCCAATTAAAGCACTACGCATTACAGTGTTATTCTCACCATATCTAACCACCTCTCTCTCTGACACTCTTTTGCTCTATATCATTTATTGCAGCTCATTTCACCCCACTACTATCCCACTGTAAGATTGCTCTACATATATCTAGATGCCTTCCATCTCACCTTTTTGAAAGACAGCAAATTTTCTGTGGAATATGTGGACAAATAGGTTGATCTTTTTGTTCTGTAAGAATCAACTGAAGTTGTTTCTGGTAACTTTAAAACGATTATCAACCATTTTAAGTAAATGACAATCACATGAGGCAGATGTGGAAGTGAAGATCAACACACAATTCATCCCCAAGAGAGGAAGCTTCAAGTATAAGGATGTGGGGAGATAAAACAATGATGTCACACATCGTAATGGAGAGGCATAGAGGAAATTGAGGTTCGCATCTGGAATCCTATATGATAAGAATGTTCCACCAAGACTTAAAGGTAAGTTCTACAAAGTGATTATCAGACCTTCTATGTTGTATGGGGTAAAGGGTTGGCTAGTCAAGAACTCACATCTTCAAAGGATGAAAAAGGCGCAAACAAGGATGCTTAGATGGATGTGTGGGCATACTAGGAGACATACGATTAGGAA